GAGGAGGAGGAGGAGGAGGAGGAGGAGGAGGAGGAGGAGGAGGAGGAGGAGCTGTACCATGCTCTCATTGATCCATTCGTTGCTGCGAGAAGGCTGCGGGAACAGATGACCAGATAGGAGCACACTGCCTTCGTTGGCAGCTGAGCTCATCGGGTTTATGTTCTCGTCCTGCAGCGGAGGAGCAGGAGGAGAAAGAGGAGCCGCCATGTTCCAGCCCAGGCTGTTCCACCCCGACGATGGCAGGTTGGCGTAGTTGTGCAGGTCAAAGTTTCTGTTGGCAGCCTCCAGGTTCGCCTCGAGCTCTTCGGGAGTGAAGAGGTCGATGATCCTCCCCCTCGCGGGGCTCTCCTGCTTCTCCTCCCCTCCTCGTCTCCTCCCCTCCTCCTTCTCGCCCTCGTTCGCTCCAACCAAGCTTGTCTGCGACTTGTGAGACCAGGGCGAGGCCTCCGTTTGCTTCAGAGGCGTAAGGGGAAGGAGCGGATGGGTCTGCGGTACCTCAACAAGCGACAGGGGAGGAGGAGGAGACGGTCCGAGGGAGACGTCTACCTCCAGCTCCTCCACCTGCATGACAGTCAGCGCTGTCGAAAATGTCGATAAATCGCCTGGAGCTCTGGGATCTCGCAGACAAGCACGTCGTTGAAGGAAATCTCTTCGTCATCTGCAAGCAGAGGAGGGAGAGGGAGAGGAGGGAGAGGGAGAGGGAGAGGGAGAGGGAGAGGGAGAGGGAGAGGGAGAGGGAGAGGAGGGAGAGGGAGAGGGAGAGGGAGAGGGAGAGGGAGAGGGAGAGGGAGAGGGCGAGGAGGGAGAGGAAGAGGGAGAGGGAGAGGGAGAGGGCGAGGAGGGAGAGGAAGAGGGAGAGGGAGAGGAGGGAGAGGGAGAGGGAGGGACGAAAAGCGTATCAGAGGCTTGCAGTATTCTTTCCCTTCCTTCACCGATCTGGAAGTCCGGGATCGCCTCCTCCACAGTCGCAGCGTCTTGCTCGCTATCTTGCTCGCTGGGCTGCTTGTTCTGCTCCTGTGGCTGAGCGTTGTCCGTGGTGGCAGCATCAGGGGGCTCGACAGGATGCAGAGGACAATGGACGGCATGATGTTCTCCTCGCTGCTCAACTCGGTTGCTGCCCGCGATTCAACGACAGCAGAGGACAAGGAGGAGGAGCAGGGGGAACAGAAGGAAAAGAGGGTGGGGGAGCAAGGGAAGGGGGCGGTGGGGATGGATGGGGACAAGGACAAGGAGGAAGAGGACAGAGCAACTAACTTGCATCCTCGATACCCGCAGTGTTCACAGACCTCGATCTGCATGACGCGGGGAGTGCCTGGGAAGCCATGAGGAAGGGGAGGAGGAGGAAGCATGTTTAGGAGGAGGGAACAAGGAGAGCAGGAGATGTCGAAGCACAAAAGCAATCAACATATCTCACTGCTGCAGCTTCGGGAGCGCTTGTTGACGATTGTGTATCGCGGGGAAGAGACGAGGAAAAGGTCGTCTCCTCTGGTGCGAGAGGCGAGGCGCCGACGATCACCGGGGAGCCAGCGGCCCTTGGAGAGGGAGGGCAGCGACTCGTACTTGCTTCCCTGCGCCTCCTCCTCCATGTCCTTCCTGTCCTTTTGCGATTTCTTCTGGAGAGCAAGTGAGCTTGCGACTACCAACAAGGCTCCGAGCACCAGCTCTCGGATCTCCTGCTTGGCTGATGCAAGTTGCGACTGCAGCGCCTGCACCTTGCTCTTCTCCTGCGTGAGATCGGACTGGATTTCCTCCGTCAACTGGAGCTGAGAGAGCAAAAGTGAGGATGAGGTAAAAGCTCGCGAGCATCTCCATCACCTGGTCTTGAAGCTTCACCACTTGTTCCGTCAACGCTCGATGCTCGTCCTCCAGCTTCTCAAGTTGCTCTCTCTGCAACATCTCGGATCGAAGTTTGAGTTCCACTTGCTCGAGAATCTCTTTTCGCAGACTGAAGCAGCTCAGCCCCTGAAAGCAAGCACGCGAGCTCTTCACCTTGACATCCGCTCGAGCGACTTCTCCTCGTTCTGAGCAGCTGTAAACTTGTCCTCCGCCTGTTGGAGCCTCTGCTCCAGGTCTTGCACCTTGAGCCGCAAGGCCAACGTTTCTTCCTGCTGAAGCCTGGCTTCTGTCTCCTTGTGACCCGAGTCGTTTCCTCCTCCCAAGCATCTCAGCCATCGCAGCACTCCCTTCCTGCTTGGCACAGGATTTCAGTGGGAAACAGCGGCGAGGTGGGCCAGACCTCGACGACGACATGTCGTGGTTCGTTGCAGGAACAGCCGCGGGGGCCAAGCGAGCTCTGTCACCCGCATGCGGATCGTGAGGGTGCAGGGGAAGATGCTGTCCGTCGTCGCGCTCGACCAGGTGGGGAGCAGCTGGATCGAGGGAATACTCTCCGTGGTTGATGCCCTGCAGGCTCTGCAGTCTGAACGAGGCATCAGCTGCTCCGCAAGTCGGAGGTAGAGCAGCGACCTTTCTTTCTTTGCCCACGGCTCCATGCAGGTCCTCTCGCTGCTCAGCTCATTGGCTGCGGCCGATCCCGAGAACTTGTCGTGAAGGCTCATCGCTCGAGATTCGCTCAAGGCGCCCGTCACGCTCTTGCTCGGCGAAGACGCCTGAGGGTCCTACACACCAAGTCAGCCTCCTCGAGCCGTCTGCCACTACACTCCTCTCGTACCGCTGCTTGACCGTACGGCTCTGTGATGCCAGGATTGAGCGGCTTCAATTCCATTCGGATAGGCTGAGAAGAAATACAGGCAATATCAGGTACGAGCATCCTCTATGCCCCAGCCCTCCTCTAGCACGCCTCTTGTTGTCTCACACCAAATTACGAATATTCTAGGAGAGCAGCCTCATCTTTTCATTCTCATGTCAGTTACCTCACGCTGGTTGAAAAGGTTTGTGTCCCTCAGAGGATGTCTCGGCCATGGCTGCGGAGCCATCATCCTCGATCGATCAGCAACAGTCCCTGTTTAAGTTCTGGGGTAGGAGCCGCGGCTTATTCCAGGCGTCTCCTTCTCAGTTGCCCTGTGCCGAGCTGTTATCTTGGCCGATTGTAGGCTTTTGATGTACTGTTGTCGTATCTGCATCTTCCCCTCCTCCTGCCTTGTCTCTGTCCCTCCTTCTCGTCCACCCACCTGCCCCTCCCACCATCGCCCTTCAAGAGCCGACACCACCAACGATGAGCAAGCCCCCCTCACTACTGTCAAGCCAGCACGGCGCCGGTCCGGGCCATGGCGGGGCGGCCCGACCGTCCGTCGGAGTCCGAGTCACTCGGCGATCGGCCGATCGCCGCCGGGCTCCGGCGTGACCCACAGCTGTGCCCGGCTGGCCAACTGACAAGCCCTGGCAAACGGCAGTGAGTTGAAAGCGAGGCTGGTTGAAGAGCACATGACAGAGCCCCGATAGGCTACAAGACTGTATGCTAGCAAGAATCTTTACTCCAACTACATGTGAATTCCAAGCCTGCCATCTGATCCGCCGGCCTTTGGACGATGGCACTACTGAGCCAGCCGAGTACGGTCGACTTGAGATGGCCAAGTCAAGTCGCCCTTTCGGCATCATCACAGTGACGTGACTGGACACTGAAGGGAAGTCGATGCAAGGCTACGGGTTGGAAAATTCCAACACAACTTGATATCACTTTCATTCAGACTAAAAAGATTCAGATATGCTAATATACCTAGAGTACAGTAAGAACACCTTGTGCAGCAATCATCTGAGTGCAACGCCTCTACAGAGTTGCGAAACAGATAGCTCGGGAGGGCAGGCCATGTTCCGTTTCCCGTTGGTTCCTCCACGCAATCGCAAATGTGCTTGACCATCGGAGTCGTCTTCGGAAGCTAGAAATCCAAGTGACACCAGCTTCTCACTCAAGCATTTCTGTTCAGAGGATGCAGCATGCAATCTTCTCCTTAATTGTACATTGACCGTTTCGAGTTCCCTTATTTGATTTTGAACCAATCTCAATTGCTGCACTTCACCCAATATTTCAGCACTGCTAACATCGATGTCCATTCGAGATAATTTATGAGTTGCGCTTGCATTGCAAATCAGAAATTGGAAGGAAAACATTAAAGGCACCCAGACAATAAAGCATGAGTTTACTAAACGCTGCATCGCAACGTTGTTGCGTGAGATGAAAGGTGTTGGCCTTCGTCAGGTAGGTGATTGACACTTTCAGATCGTGCGGTCAAAATATGTAACAAGTCAAGTCGAGCAGCGTATTAGAAGGAAGCACAGCTTGTATCCCACTAAGAGGAATCAAAGATGTAAAACAAGCCGAGGCACAAATCGAACAAGCACGGCGCAATCCTGAACGAGTGTGCGAAGGCGACGAGTTCTGGGCCAAGAGATCTTTGAAAGAGGATACTGAGAGAAGGTGGCAGAAAGAAGCGAAGAAGATCAAGGAGACAAGCGAAGAAGATCCAACAGCTTGCAGCAAGAAACCCGGATGAGAGCAGCAATAGAGTGAGGAGACGGGCAGTGGATTTGAGATTTAAAACGCAAGTTTTCAACCTCACTTTTAGTCCTCGTTTTAAAACTGCTGAATACCACTGCTACCAAAATAATACATATAGAAACAAAATAAGTTATTAAATTCCCTATCTTGGTACCTATAACAAACCTTGTGGTAGAGCTTACGTAGTACTAAATGAGTTTTATGGCGTACTGGATTGTTTTGTAGGGCTTTTAAAAATGAATTCATTCTACAAGAAGGCAGGAAACTCCTATTCGAAGGCGGGGTGGGGGTGACATAGAGGCAGGGAACCGCATCTGAGGGGTATCAAAATGTATTATATAAGAACGAATCGTTGGGGTTGAACTATTTTAAAACATAGTAAGAAATAAAATTGTCGATCCGCTGTGCTTGTTGAGTGGCAGAGCTTGCTACAGTGGCCTCCAGAGAGACACCACTCCATTCATAAAACATTTTAGAGCTATTTTTAGACTCCAAAGCTTCATGTCTGTTGCACTGCCCCTTCGCTGTTTAAAACGCATGGTTTTCAGCACCATCTTCTATTTACAGAGTCATTTATTTCAAACGTTGTTTTATCACAATGATCCAAATGCTGTGAGGGTGGCCGCCGGCCTCCATTCCCCGGAGATCTCGATCTTCTTTGATGCATTGCGATCTGGAGCCGGGAGATACATACTCTTGCAGAGGTGCTGGAGAGATGTAGACAAAAAAAACTTTCACTCATCAACTACGACCTTTCTGAACCCCTAAACCCCCTAACTAAACCTTAACAGGCGCAAGGTACCGACTGGTCACTCTAGCACCGGGCCCGGGCACGATGTAGCGCCTGTCCGGGGCAGAGTCACGCTTCACCGTGACCGCATCGGCAAAGGAGGATGGGGCATGGCGAACGACTATGATCTATCCTAGGCGAGAACGCATGTGGTCCAGCCTGTCTCAACTGCAAGCAGCTCAGCCTGGTTTCATGCCCTCCCATTATGACAGGCTGAAGTGTGGAGAGCTGTTTCTGTGATGGTAGCTCTTGCCATCACTCTCGGCAATTCAAAACAAAAGACACATAGCATCAATGATCCAAGCATACAAAACCTGTGATCGAGTAATCTAACGTGATCATGAGACTATGTTCTTCCAGGTGTACCGACAGCTATCAACTTCTTGTGTCTCTGCTACATGTTGTATGCACGAAAGGATAGCTGGTAGAAACGTCGACATTGACAAGGAGTCGAGGAGATGAGTCGGGTGGCGTTTGAGGTTCTTGAAGGCTAATCAGGCAAGGCTGTGACATCTCCGTCAGCATCATAGCAGTCGTGAACATGGAGCATCACCTAGAAGCCAAAACTCTTGAAAGAGACCGACACGACAGGAGTGAACGTTGCCGTTGTCCCACGTCACCACGCAAGTGCCTTCCTCGTTCACCTCGGTGATCTACTCGCTGGTGATGATCTCGTACGCAGAAGCCAAGCTTACCGTTCCATCTCCCTGGCTGCGCAGTTCCGGTTTGAGCGATACTCGGGTACCTCGTTTGGCAGGCAAGTCTCTCCCTACCTCCACCAGCTGGGAAGTTTGAATGAAATCTGCCCGGGCTGTCTTTGACTTACCTCTCCCTTCTCGCTTGCCACCACTCGTTCCCTCTCCACGAGCTCCATAAATTCTTCATAATTCACTTCAACCTGTTTGAGAACAGAGGAAGATGGAGACGGATGGTTCAGCAGCCTCAACATGAGTTGGTTGTATCATTTGCCTTCATCGCCTCCTGTATCACAGCTTCGATGTCGACATCGACTTCTTCGACATGCGTCAACAAGGAAAGTGCCTGTCACATCTCTTCAAGTGCTGTCTGTCAAGACTGTTTTCTTGACCTGCTCCAGATCTGATCGCATTAACTGCTTCGAGAAACTGCACAAGCGGAAGTTCAAAAAGAAACAGCACAACTTGCAAAGCCTTGCCTGCAAAGGAATGCGACGGTAAACTGAACGAGGAATGAGAAACCTTGGATGAGAAAGATATCCCATAGCCTACGAGGAGTTCACTCTAGAGAGTCGTTGCTGTCTCAAGCATTCCTGGATGCTTTTTGAAGGGGCAGGACCGAGGCGAAGGCGGTCATCCACCACTTGAGAAGATATAGCCTGGTGCTCTGCTCAACCATCTCAATCTGCAGCCTCATCCCTGTACCTTGCATCCACTCCTATCTGCCGCAACTTGCACGCCAGCTTGGAAGAGTGCTCCAGGAGAACAACATGAAAGGCGGCACAGTAACGATCTGAGAAGAACTCTCAGAAAGAGTAGACACCTAATCAGGCAACCGATTCTCTTCACGTCCTGCCATTGAGTCAGTTACGTCAATTCATCGAAGCAATTCACAATCAGGAAGAAGTCTTTGAAGTGAAACTTATCGAGCTCATTAACTAGAGCGATGTAGGCCTTAACAAGCACAAAGGGAGTCACCCTCTCCTGAGAGGAAACAACAAGCTTCACCGAGCATGCAGGCATGTATAGGAGGAGAAGAGCAGCCACATGTGACATTCCCTGAACCCCGTCACGATCACGATGTATAAGGCTGGCAAATTAGAAGAAGGAAGAGGGAGACAGAAAGCACGATTGAGACTAGGTGTAGGACCGAGCAGACGAGTCGAGCAGAAGTACCTGCACGTAACCGAGATCTGGTCGAGTAGCAGAGAAAGCAAACAAAACCTTGACGGTCAACGTCAGTGCGTTTAGACCACACCAATCGCAAGACACCTCGCGTAGGTCTTGGTGGAAGGGACCGTTCTTGGAGAAGAAATACATTCCAGGGAAGGTTCGCTCCAAGTCAAGAGTGATCTGCCGCAAGTGATCCTCAAGTTCTCCTTCCTCTTTGCCTCGGGACGCTCGATCCATGAACGCTCCCTTGCCCACGAGGTCACGGGCAACAACAATATGCTCATGGTAGTGTTCTTGGTTCAACATGGCTGCATTTCCCACGGCTTGCTCAACATGTTTAGCTTCTTGATAGAGTGACGTGGTACTTCACCTTGGGCCCATAGCCGCCCTCGGATCTCCTCAGGAAGCCCCTGAGATGCGATGAGAAGGAAAAAAGAGAACGCGAGCGGGGGAGCACCTTCCTCCAGATGTCCTGGAGAGCAAGACCTTCACTCGGACGTGATCCACACGCGAGATGCTCTCTCAGTACGTGCTCCATTGCTGCCAACATGAGGGGTGAGGAAACAGAATAGAGGTGAGGAAACTGGATAGAGGTGAGGAAACTGGATAGAGGTGAGGAAACTGGATAGCAAAAAGGCTCTGACCGGTCGCTCTACACCGCTGTGACTCAAGTCGATGTACAAGCGAGTGTTGCCACTGTCACTGATGAGCATGGCATCTTTGTTATCGCCATTCAATACCTCCGGTTTCGACACACAAGCTTCGCGGAGCTGTTTCCGGAGGTAGTCTGAGCCATACTTGTACACCATACCAACCCAAGAGTCATCATCTGCACAAGATCTGGCTTTCTGCAGTTTCGAGTGTCAGCGTTAAATCTGAGTGGTTGCAGAATGACACCATTTTCTCTTTTCTTCGCTTTCTGCATTCCATCATCATGGTAGATAGAAACCCACAGACAGCTTGAACATCCGAAGAGCCTCGGAACTGTACAGCCTTGGGATCTGAAGAGAGAGCTGAAGAAATTGCGCCTGGAATTCCAACCTTTTTTTGCCACTCGAGGGAAGGGAGGAGGAAGAGGAGGATGTACGACTGATTGGAGGGGTTGGAAGGAGATCGAGGATCAATCGCCTTGTCAGATACGTGCATGCATCTTCTCAACACAGCTTCGCATACCAAGCCGAACTTGCAACGAGGATGGAAGATGCGAGAGACATTTGAGAACCAGTCAGGAGGCTCGAGACTGAGAGACAGTGAGGATGGAGCGATCACTGCTCGCATGTTTACCTGGTAGTGACGAGCAGGAGGCAAGGACCCTCCTGGCTCGGACCCTCCCCCAGAATTTCTCCTTGTGATCCTTCGACGAGATGTCGCACAAACCCTCCTGGTCGCAGGTAGGCAGCAGGGCACGTTTGGGAGTGTAAGTTTGCTGCAACGAACAGAGCGAGGGGTTCGAAGATCAAGCTTCCATCATAGGAGAACGCATGCCAGAGGCCTCCATGCTGGGTGATGAACATCGCTCGAGCCTGGGCTGAGGGTTGTCCGACAAGAAACGGCTCCACGTGCTGTAAAACCTCTTTTCTGTCCGACGGCAGGGTGAAGACATCTATCCTGTCATGATAGCATCTGGCAATTTCGCGAAGAACCTTGTTGTCTTGCTCGTTCTCGTCGGCATAAAGCAGAAGGAGAGGACGATCTCTCTTCTCAAGCACCAACACCTCGGGCGATACACAAGGGAGTAAATCGTCCTCCCAAACGCCTAGGTCCTCCTCCTCCTCCTCTTCCAGCTGCTCGTTTGGGTGCTGGCCGTTCAAACCGCCCCAAGGCCACAAAGATTGGAACACGGTTTGCAGATCAGCATGCCATCCTTGACCTGGCAGCATCTTCTCCGCTCCTTCAAGCATCTCCACCGCTTGCCTTCACCTCCTTGCCATTTCACGTCCCTTGATCGATGAGGTGCATCGACAGGTCCGCCTCACCAGTCGTGACGTCCTTTCCAAACTTTAGTCAAAATACTAGCCTGAAACGGATTGAGCCTGGCATGCGGCGCGAATGAGTATTTAGAATCGGAAGCATACAACGCAATGTTGGCAACGTGGGGAAACAGCGATTTCCCCAATTTCTTAGGATAAGCTTGCATCCCTTCCAAGAAGTCAACCATTCGGCAAGACTCAATACATCAAGAATTTCGCCAAGTCACTGGCACCTGATGATGAATTCATCAAACAGAAGCTGAGCTTCATACACTCTCTGCCCACGTCCAGAGATTTGTCATTTTTCGTGCTTTCTTCACGTTCTGCGCATGAGAGTGAACAAAACAATCCAATTCGTTTACTGCTCAGCAGTTCAAGTTCCGGACCAGGTCTCGTCATATGATCAACTTGCTGATCTCTTACCAAGATCATTCCATTTCTACTTGTTTGTAGCAATGCAATGGCCATTATCGGCTGGCAAGCATCCGGGGGTTTGAATACCGCTGAAAACAAAAACGTTGTTGTTGTTTTATGCCTCAGGGAACCCCATTCAGACACTTGTTTCGCAAGGCCTGAGACCAAATTCAAGGAGATCCGCGCAGAACAAGACCAAGAGATATTCCTGAAAGCATGTGAAGACCGCAGACGACGCCGCACAGCGGCGGCACGATAGGGAGTAAAGAATCTCAAAACGCGATGGGCAAGAAAGGGTTTAGGGTTTAGGACCGGGCCCCTTCCCGAGGCACCGGGCCCCTTCCCGAGGCACCGGGCCCCTTCCCGAGGCATGCACATCCGCGGCGCGTAGGGGGAGCACAAGGGGACCGGAGGAAGCTGCGAGCAAGGGTTGGTACAGTTGAAACAGCTTTCGAAGTATGGTACTACAGTATGATGAGAGCGTTCGCAACCTGCTGTATCGGAGATCATGCCAATACACGCAGGGCGAGCGCTCTGGAGGCCACGTCGAGGAGCGGCCGCCGACCTCGTTGAGAGAGTGAAGAGCTTCATGAAGCGTTATCCAGTGGTAGTAGGACAGCTCATGCTTGCAGAGCTGAGGGGGGATGCACCCCCGACGCTATCGCTGAAGCCATCCGCTCGACATGTCGGCAGGCGAGACGCGACCTGTTTGAAGACTCTCTGAGCGAATGGAGCTCAGAGTCGAGAGCAACAGATGGAGGAGGCCAAGAAGCAGAATGTCGAGACATACATCGGCACCGAAGGCACCGAGGGGACCTCCTTCATCTCCATGACTCTCCTAGGCATTTCCTCATCTCCATGACTCTCCTAGGTTTAGGGTTTAGGGTTTAGGGTTTAGGGTTTAGGGTTTATTCAACTTTTCTTAGGGTTTAGGCCAAGAAACAACACAACCATTGGCATACGAGTTTTTACAACATCTAGCAGAGATTACAGCATGCGACATCAGTACATTTCGTAACTGGCCTACCCTACACACACATCCCCAGGCTCTGGACAAGAAGAGAGCAAGGGAACTGCACAGAGTGGTGGTTTGGATGGACAAACAAAAGAGATTTCGTGAACAAATCCTGGATACAATACATGTCATTCTGATAGGATGGAAGAATAACATTGATGAGATACCAGAAGGTTTTGAAATTATCAGCCGGGTCCCGAAAGGCGCTCAAATAGCTTATGCAGCAAACTTCTGGCAAACAGGGAATAGGTGTTTGATGAAGACTGCAGAGGAGTTATGGATACTAGTTAGGCACACACTCCCAACATACTTACGAGTCCAGCTTCAGGACAACATCCTCCCAACGTATGAGGAGCTGTGTAACAGACGAAGGGATCAGATCCAGCCGTGCAGCGATCATCAAGGCGGAAGGCATTTCACAGCAGCTATTGAAGGAGACATCATGCAGGGCAGAAAAAACAGATCCATGCGAGTAGGATATGTTCTCCAACAAAAAGAGATGACGTCAGGAGGAGGGATGAAAATCAATGGGAAGTGCAGCATCATCCGAGCGAACACAATCGCAATCGGTTTACTTCTGCAACATGTCCTGAGGAAGGAATA